AGAAAGTTGTCATTTTTTCATGGTAAAGGAGACTGGAGTCCGTGTTGATGAAAACACCTTGGTGGCTGCGGTGACTGGCAGTGGCTGCAGCAGCGGGGTGATGGGGCTGGTGCCTTCCCCTGATCAGCCCGGTCGACTCCCCAAAGGGAGGCCAGACTGTGGCTTAGGCCCGCTCCCCAAGGGGAGCAGGGAGCAGGTAGTAGGACATCCCCTAGGGCTCCCAGTATGTGATAGGGGGCAAGCTGGGCTGAGGGAACCCCCTCCCAGTGCACAAATTTTTGTGCACCGGGCCCCTAGTCCTATATAATAAAAGCCTAATATGCTAAGTGTCCGGTCGACTGGTTGGCCATTCAACCAATCAAAGCATAATATGCTAATGATATGCTAAGGCCGCTCAACTGCTTGCTATGGCGTGCACTGACCACCAGGGGAAAGACAGTCAACCGGTTTACCAGTCACTATGATGTGCACTGACCACCAGGGGGCAGATGCTCCAACCAGTAGGTTAGCTTGCTGTTGGGGTCTGGCTGATCAGGACTGAGAAAGACGGGCAGGACATGCCCTGGAGCCATCCTGTGGTCCCTCCCTAGCTGGCTAAGCTCCCGTGTCCCTCCCTGGCCCCGATCGTGTACCAGTGGAGTCCCTTGGCCTGGCCTGCACCCTCTCGCAATCCGGGACCCTTCAGGGGGATGTCAGAGAGCCAGTTTTGGCCCGATCCCACAGGCCACACCGAGGGACCCACTAGTGCACGAATTTGTGCACCAGGCCTCTAGTGTGAGATAATAAATGTCTATTGCTATTTTGAGTTGCTAACTTTGGGGATAATTTGTTACACAATAGATAATTCATACACTTTCTTACTTCATTTTTTTAACCATAATTATACAGTATAAAGACAATGTCAATTGTTTTCAATAATTCCCACCATATACATGCTCCCCATCTCTCCCCAATCACCAAATCTCTCCTAAAAAGGACATTAAGGTGTGATGTTGGAGGGAAAAAAAGCAAAAGCTGGACGGCCAGTGTTTAGGAGCCTTCACTCACACAGACATTTTCAAGTAATCTTCACAGGTGCCTGTGTTTCTATTTTTATGTAAATTGGAGCAAAGGAACAAAGAGAATGAAGGGCAAAATAGGCCATGGTAGAGGTGGCAAAAACTTTATTTGAAGGGTTTGCAGGAACTAAATGACCCTGAATTCACTCTATATACAAAACATGAGCAGGATGGACACAATTGGAGGCTCTAAGCATTAAAACGGCAATGATGGCTGCCTATGTGACAAGTAAAATCTCTAGAAAAGTATATGTGTAAGAAGCCCCCAACATTTCTATTTCTCCCTGATTCTTTTTTTGATAGGACGGTTATCAAAGCCATCTTAGAAGTTGTTTTAGTGCCTTTGTTTTTTCCCTTTACTCATAGCTGGACTGCCTACTGTTTAATCGAGCAATGATAAAACTCTCTTTATAAACATAGGAATTCATTTTCTAATGTGGATATTTTCATCACAATACCTCTGGTGCCCCAGTTATTATGAAATCCATCATTTTATCTTCTAGCTACTAGCTTTCCCTGAGGGGCTCTTGTTAGCTGAGCTGCTTTTGAGAAGTGCTTATTCTGTTACTATTCCTTTGAAGCCCATTATACATGTTCCTTTTACCCAGAAACTCTGCAGTCTCTGATTGGTGACGAAAAGCAGGGTGGGAGGGCAGAGGGGAGCTTATTTCAGACCTGCAGGCCTCATGCTGCCTCGGTTGTCCCTTTCCTTGTCCCATTCACACCTTACCTGCAGGTAAAGGGCTAAGCTATGTACATCCTGATGAGAAGGACTCAGCAGGTGGCGAATGCTAACTTCTGAGGTCAGGAAAGGTGCTTCACAGCATCCCCTTTTGAAGACAAGACCCAGACATCCGGGCAGGATGGGGAGGCTCCGAACATCCTACATATTTAAGGGTGCTTTGCTGAGAACTGATGGGGCCATACCCATGGAAATCAGTGACCTCAGAGTTTGAGTCCGCCTTTGTCAGTTTAAACACACACTTGAAGCCTGGACAAAGCGGGAAGCTAAGAATATATCATTTTTACAACTTATATTAAAATGCTGATGCTGAGCTGTTCAATATGATAGCTACTGATAGAAATTAAAATTAAATACAATTAAAAATCCAGTTCCTCAGTCATCTCAGTACATTTCAAATGTTCAGTAGCCGTACAAGCACTGTTCTAAAGAAATAAAAACTTCATTGAATTCCCTTACATCTTTTTTATGATTTGACATTGTTTGAAAGTTTGAATTACACATTTAGGAAATAGATTGGAGAACGATAATATTTTTGGTGTCTGGAGACCTCTAAAGAATTTCATGTGACCTTAGCCAACAGGATTTTTAACAGCATTTATATCCTTGACCTCTCCCCCATGCACCTCATCAATAAACCATTGACCAAGACAATCACCCAGGAGCACCTACAATCCAAAAGACCAAACACAGCATAGGAGCGTAGCTGGTCTCTTAGCAACAGCGACGCGATCCCACCCCTTCTCCCTCTCCTACCTTATTAGACTGAAAGGGGCGGGGCCAGGGGCCAGGAGCCCAATAGGAGGGGAGTAGAGGAGGGAGTCCCGGCCGCGTCCCCGTCGCCAGGGAAACCGCCGCAGCCTGAGTTAGCGCGGGATGCCGAGCGCGGCGGAACCGGCGGCGCCGTCAGAGAACGCGGACCTGGAACCCGGCGTGGACCCGCGACTGCGACTCCTGGGGGCCTGCGTGGCCCGGAGCCTGCGGCCGGCTGCCGGGGCCTGGGAGCGCTGCGCGGGGCACGGCCGAGGCGGAGCAGCTGCTCCACGCCCTTCCTGGGCCGCGATGCTGCCGAGGGGCCGCGGCCGCTGCTTGGTGGTGCGGCCCGGGCCCCGGGGGCCTGGCGCTGTGTCCGGGGCTGGACGCGGGACCCCGAGTCCGGCCCTTCCTCGCGCCAAGGGGCTTCTTTTTTCCTGCGCACCAGGCCCGAGCCGCCGGGGCCCCCACAGCCTTCCGCGGCGCAGTGCTTTGCGGGGACCTGCCCGCCGCGC